GGCCGATCAGGGTGGTGGGGGCCAATCGGGGGCAGGGCTGGCTGGGGGAAGGGCCACGAGGGGTTGGCCAGCTGGCCCCACCCCCAATAGGGCTGGTTTGCTGGCCGCAGTGGGCGTCATAGCAACCGGTCATATAGCATTCGGGTCACTGGCTTTTTATATATATAGATGATCTAGACTCTATTTGGCAAATACTGATTGATACTGCCTTAGAAAATTCCCATAGCACAAACTACTTTGTAATGTCCTTGACGTTATTCCCTCCAGACATGTAGCTATGCATGGGAAGAGTAAATAAGAGGACCAGGTGACTTCGTGTACACAGCGCGATGATTATTTGCGGTTAGGTGCATAAACAAGAAATCTCTTCCATTTTCTATTTTGCTTTAAGTTCAGAAGGTATATTGCTTTTTATGTCCCCAAACTTCATTTTAGCAGTGTGGTACCAAGGATATGCCTCTTGAAGGACTTGCTTGGAAAACTAATACATCTTCCAAGATAAACTACATTCAGAAAAAAAATGGCTTCAGAGAAATTGTGTAGTGTACCTACTGTAAAACTCATCACCGTCTGACACAGCTGAATTCTCAGATGGTACACAGCCTAGCTTCAATTACAATAAGAATTCAAGCAGCTTAGGTTTTAAGTATGAACTTTGGTCTAGAAAACTTCAGTATTTAATACTGCACTAAAGTGCTGCTATTTAATAAATAATATTTAGCCAGGTCAGATTAATTTACCTAAATCAAAAATGAGAGAAATATCTTCCTCAGGCACATTTACATGTTCTATCCCATCCCAAATATACAGTCCTGATTTGCTTTCCAAGGATTTGAAAGAATCCTCCTAGATCAGTGTATGCAATACCATATCTGAGAATTAATAAACTCTAAATAAGGGCAAGCAGTTAATGCACATGTTCAAAAGGAACATTCTCTGTCCCATCTATCACATTGAGACTTTAAACAGGATTTTTAAATTGCAAAGTACCAAATCGGATCAATTCAGATATATGACTATTAAAAGGGTTATAAAATATTTTGGATGAAGCTGACACTGTGTTGGGCTATTAGGTCTGATGGTAATTTGAAGTCTTCGCAGACAGATGGAAACTGTTCAGGGAGCTGGGGAAAGCTGGCAGCTGTACTAGAACTGCTTAATCCTATAGCCAACAAACTTGTATTGTGCATCTAAATCAAAAACAGCTCTTCCTCTGAGAAATTAAATAAATCATTATGCCCTTTTTTCTACCTTTTTTTGGTGGCAATTATTTGAATAGCATATTTGGGGAGTACTTAAAACATATAACTGTATTCTTTAATACATAATGTATACCTAGCCATCATTTGTACCCCTTAAAATAAAGAGGGGATAAGTAAACATAATACATTTCAATAGTGATTTAACCTCACTAAAGCATGATGTGTATTTAGGAGATTCTTTTTCCACTTGAAACAGTGTATTTAAAACCTTTAGTGAATTAATGACACTCTATAGGAAATCTAAAAATTCTTGTGCTTTTTCTGACATAATATATACCACCACAAAAAAGTCCAGAATGTTGTTAATTATGTAATTAAGTACCCTTTTTATTAGCCTAAATTTGGGGGGGGGTGCAAAATTCTATCATTAAGATCCAAATAGAAAAAAAATATCCAATATAATTATACATATACTATTTTTCATATACTAATTAAATAGCAGAACTGGTATGGAGTAGTTCTTATGAGATATTTTGAAATATTTGATAAGATACAAATATTAATTCCTGTCCAGTGTGGCTCAGTTGGTTGGAGCATTGTCCCATAGACAAATGGTTGCAGGTTTGATTCCCAGTCAGGGCACATAACCAGGCTGTGGGTTGGATCCCCGGTTGGGTTGCTTGGGTTCCGTATAGGAGGCAACTGATCTGTGTTTTTCTATCACATCTACATTTCTCTCTCTCATTCTCTTCCTTCTTCTCTCTAGAAACAATTAAAATAATTAAATGTTTAAAGAAAATAAATATCAATTTCTTTATTTTTCAATGCCATGACAAATAACAAACAAGGAGGGTTGTTTGTTTGTTTTTTGGTTGTTTTTTTTGCCTGATAGCCAATATTATATTAATTATGTAGCTATATAGTAAAACAAAAGTCCACAATTGAACTTTCTTTTCACTCTTTCTGATAAGTGTTACCTCCAAGTTGAGTTTGTGGGCCCTTGGGCTACTAGATACATACCACAGCTCCAAATTGTTCAGGCTCACAAAGGTCATCATACTCATTCTTCAGCTGCGCTAATTCATTGAGAACCTTCTGCTCTGGAAGATATTTAACAAGGTTCTAAAAAAAATAAAAGTATAAATGTTTAGTATTTTATTAGAATTATTAAACATGCACTAACAACTTGATAAAAAGTGATAAAATAGAATAGCAGATACATTTCTGATTGTGGTTCTGTTATAGTACCAGTTTCCACCCCTCTTCCTAAAATAACTTAACAACAAAAAAAAAAAACCGAACTACAATTTAATGTGAATATATATAGTTACTATGCACTAAATATAAAAGTTAAATAAAAAGATCATATAACAATAAATGACATCACATAGCATTAAATTGACCAACTTTCAGGGTCTTAAATATATAACATGATTTTTAAGCTTTATTTTCTATGATAATAATTAACAAAAATACTATGAAGACATTAAATCATGTGCAACAACAATAATAAACCACCTGCACTCTTAATAATTGGCAAAATTTGGAATCATTTTCAGTCTTATAAACCCACAGTAAACCTGTAAAAATAATCTCCCATTATTCACAATGTCTATATTTAAATACATAATGCATTCCACTTTAATGAAGAGTCAATCAAAGTGATGAAGTCTGATGCATGTTAAAGTCTGATTCATAAGAGACTCACAATTGATTAATTCTTGCCAACCTGGTTTATTTTGGACTTTGGTACAATTCTAATTATTATTGCATTAGCCTGCAACCAACCTATTGGGAACTTGTATAGGATTTCAAAAGACATATGAAAAGGAAAAAAGTAAGAAACAAAGAATTAAGAAGGTAAGGATTGACACAGATTGGCAGAGAAGGAAGTTCCAGGGATTCGTCCTTCAGCAATGCCACCACTGAGCTAGAAAGAGTGATTTAAATAAACTATTTCAGAACTCTGGCACCTGACTGAATATTTACAACAAGGTAAGTGTTTCATGAAGAAAGTCACTGCTGTTCTCTGTTAAGAGAATGACATGTACAAAACAGGTACCATTTTCCATTCCTCAGCATCACTGTGAGGATAGTTCCCGTAGGAGCTGGCTGATGCCAGGGTAGGCAGGAGGACCTCGTTCTCTAAAATTGGAAGCTATACGTTTTGATTGGCTTGGCAATTCCCTGAAGGAACGGTGAAAATGTTTGCCTTGGTTTCTACCCTCTTGGTTTGCAGCAGCTTTCACTACTGGCATCAATCAGAAGATCTGAATAGACAGAAACAATTCCCCTGCAATTTGGAACCAGACATTTAAGGAAATCTCTACCAGATCACTGGCTGACACCAGTGATAATAAAACCCAAACTTCAGTGACCACACACAAGGAAAGTACACTTTGCAAAAAGTGTTTAGAAAAGTCACAAATTTCTATAGACCTTAGCAAATAAAAATAAGCTGTCTGTAAGGAGTGAAAGAATCAGATTTCCAGGTTATAATAGACTCAAATGCCAGTTCTTAACAACAATAAAAATTACAAAGTATGCAAAACAAAACCAAAAAACAACCAGAAAAGAATCGCCTATGCTCAGGAAAAAAAGAATTTGACAGAAACTCCCCCTGAAGAAGCTCAGACTTTGGAGTTACTAGTCAAAAAGATTAAATGAACTGTCTTAAATTGAATATACTCAATGCACTAAAAGAAACTATGCACAAATAATTAAAGAAATCAGAAAAATCATGTGTGAATGGAATGAGAATATCAATAAAGACAGAAGTTATAAAAAGAAATCAAACAGAAATTCTGGAGGTGACAAATACAGTAACTGAAATGAAAAATTAACTTAAGGGATTCAACAGCAGATTGGAGCATACAGAAGAAAGGATTAGTGATGTGAAGATAAGGAAATTAAAAAGATCCAGTTTGAGGAGCAGAAAGAAAAAAGAGTAAAGGAAAATAAAGCCTGAGGGATGGGTGGGATACCATCAAGCATAGGAACATGTGCATCACAGGATTCCCAGGAAAAAAGGAAAGGGACAGAAAAAAATATCCCCAAATCTGATGAAACATTAAATACACACATCCAAGAAGCTCATCAACTATAAGCAGAATATCCAACAGGTTCACACTAGATACTTTCTAATCAAGTGGTCAGAAATAAAGAAAAATAATTTTTAAAGCAGTAAGAGGGAAATAAATTGTTACATTCAAGGGATTGTCAATAAAATTAATATCTAATTTGTTCCATGGGAGCCAAAAGGTAGGGGAACAACGTATTTGAAGTCCTAAAATAAAAAATTAAAACTTTCAACCAAGAATTCCATATCCAGAAAATACACCGTCCTTCAAAAATAAAGGAGAAACTACGACAATCCCAAATTAACAAAATAAAACTAAAAACAGATAATTTATTGCTAGCAAGTCTGTCCTGCAAGAAATACTAAAGGAGGCCCTATAAGCAGAAATGAAAGAACACTAAACAATAAATCAAAGACATAAAAAGAAATAAAAAGTGATTATAAAGGTAACTACATAGGTAAATATAAAATCCAATGTTATTGTACTTTTGGTTTATAACACCTGTACTTCTTTCTGTATAATTTAGAAATCAAATGCATAAAATAATAATTATAAATCTATGTTGATGAGCATGCAATGTACAAAGATTTAATATATTAAAACAATAGTACAAAGGGGAGGGGGCATAAATATATAAGACCAGAGTGTTTACATATTGGTGGTTTCTCAGAAATCAAACAGAATTACTTACTTTTCAACACTCAAGATTAAAAAAAAACAAACTAACAATTACCATATGACCCCACAATTCCAGCCCTAGGTATATACCAAAAAGAACTGAAAACAGTTCCTGTGGGTCTCAAACAGATACTTGTGCACAAATGTTCACATCATCATTATTCAATAGCCAGAATAATAGGTTTGTCTACCAACATATAAATTAATCAAATGTGGTATATATCCAAAAAGATATTATCCGGCCAAAAATGAAGTTTTGATACATGCCAAAGCATGCATGAACCGAGGATGATAGAAACAAAAGGACAAATATTGCATGAATCCACATACATATGGTATCTAAAAGAGACAAATTCTTAGAGTAGAATAGAGGTTACCAGGGCCTGGGGACAGAGGGAAATTGGGAGTAACTGCTGAACGAGTATATTGTTTCTGTTTGGGGTGATGAAAACGTCTGGAAATAGTGATGATGGTTGAACAACAATGTAAATATACTTAATGTAAAAAATGAGTAAATGGTAAATTTTATGTTATAGATTTTTCCACATTAAAAAAAAATGAGTAGGCAACATATACCATGAGTCCCAGGGGAAACAACGGTATCATGTTCTACTCTAAGTGCTTTTTTGTTCTCTCCATTTATCCCGTATGTCCTCCCACTCAATGTTGCATTTCCATTAAGCTCTAGCCCAGTGGTTCTCAACCTTGGCTGCACATTAGAATCACCTGGGAATCTTTTTAAAATCCTGATTTCTGGGCCTCATCCTCCGGAAATTCTGTTTCTTTGTTACTAATGTTGTGGCCCCACCCCATAACAAAGAAACAGAATTTCCGGAGGATGGGGCCCAGAAATCAGGATTTTAAAAAGATTCCCAGGTGATTCTAATGTGCAGCCAAGGTTGAGAACCACTACTCTAGACCTTCAATGCACCCATTGTGTAACTAATGAGACTAAAGATTTAAAATATCATGTCCTCTGACTTAAAAGAAATACTGATATTGATATAATAACACATATCTATAATCCAAGGAAATTAAGAACATCTATTATTTTGTATCACTAATATCATTATCTTGCATAGAATAAAACTTTATTTCCATCTTTACAGAATATTTTTGATACAGGTAAATATACATGTAAATTATTCACTTGTTTTGTAAAATTGTTCTCTTTTAATGTTTTTTTCCCCCTGAAGTATGTTATTAAGAAAAACAAAGAATCAGTTTGGCAACTTGCCTAATTTTTACTACTGGTTAACTTAGGAAGATGAGGAACATTATTTAAAATTACAAAAAATTATCAATTCTGTATACTTTAAATGTTCCGTTTCAATTTTAAGTTTTCACTGTATCATAGAATGAATCAAGCTGAAAATAAAATTTTAGCTCAGAATGTGAAATTTGTTACTTTGTTTCTCTTCTAGCTATAGGTAACCTGTTGACTCATCTTCAGGATGTAAGCTCCACTGTAGGTAACATTTTTTCTTTCTCTGTTCAGTTCTATGAAATATTTAATGCATTTAGTGGGCTTAGATGTATTGTGATTCTGGATACTATTTTGTGACTGAGTCACAAGCTTATATAACTGCCAGTGCTTAGAAGGTTCTATTTGCAAATAGGATTGGAAAGAAACTCATTATCTCACAGGTGTAACAGACACCGACTACTATTACACTACTTAGTGCTTAGTGAGTCAACTACCTCTAGAATCCCATCTTACAAGTGGCATCATAGCCAATGCTTAAATATACCTAATTTTCACATACAGACTAGACTTTATAGACAAAGATGTTGTATAAGATTGGACATTAATATGTTTTCATGCCCATAAATTCCTGAATAGAAGAGGAAGGTTAAGAAGACAACGGAGCCCTGGCCGGGTGCTCAGTGGTTAGAGCATTGGCCTTCGGACTGAAGGTTCATGGGTTCAATTCCTAGTAAAGGGCACATACCTGGGTTGCAGGTTCAATCCCTGGTTCTGCCCTAGTCAGGGCACTTGCAGGCGGCAATCAATCAATGCGTCTCTCTCACATGATGTTCCCCCCACCTTCCTCTCTCCCCCTCCCTCCCTTCCACTCTCTAAAAGTCAATGGAAAAAATATCCTCAGGTGAGGATTAAAAAGAAGACAATGTAGAGAGAGACAATGCTACTCATTTCCCTCTACTCTCCTTCAGCTACTAATCAAAAGCATGTCAAGAGAGAAAATGAAAAAATGTAGATGTTCAAGGCACAGTTTGAGACTAATGTGGACAGTCCGAGGAATCAGGGGGAAGTGTATTTGTACAGGGGACTAAGGGACTTCCTAGGAGAGAAACCTCCTGCCTAAGGGAAGGGCAGTGTGGATCAGAGGATCAGCATGGGGA